TTGTGTGATGTTTGCAGATGATACCACTTTTCTTTCGGTCGATGAACAAAAAGGAGACACAAGACAGATAGGTGACTGGTTTTCAGCAAACCGTTTAAAAATGAATGAGTCAAAAACCAATGATCTACTCATAAGCTCAGACAAATGGGCCTCGAAATCAAAACCGGTTAAACTTCTGGGGATATATTTGGACACAAGTCTAAATTGGACACCGCATGTTGATTACCTCTGTTCCAGGTTAGCAACACAAATATTTGTGATGCGTCAATTAAAATCATGTGTACCTGTCAATATACTTAAAACTATATACTTTTTACTAGTTCATAGTAATATTGCATATGGCGTACTGTTATGGGGAAACTCCACAAACGCTCATAGAGTTTTCGTTCTACAAAAGACCGCAGTTCGATTATTAGATAATTCTGCAAATAACACCCCTTGCCAACCAATTTTTAAAAAACTTAAAATATTGCCTCTTCCTTCCATGTATATTTTTGAAACACTACTAGAAACACATTATAATTTAAATAACTTAAAAAACCACAACAATATACACAATTATAACACCCGTTTCGGACAAGATATAGTCCTCAAAAAATCGAGGATTCAAATGACCAAAAATAACTCTTTAGATGTTTCACTATATAACTCATTTCGCAAGTACTTTGAATCCAAAGATATCGTAAGCATGGCTAAAGGCAATTTTAAAAAATTGTTAAAGGGTTTCTACTTGAGCATTGCTTTTATAGCACAGAAGAATTTATAAAGAAATTAAATTCGTAACTTGTTTGCTAAATTCGCATTATCATTACCCTAATATGTATTATGATTGTAGTTTTATTTTTTATTTTTTAACTTTTAAATTGTTTTGTTTTATTTTTTAACTTTTGAATTGTTTTATTATTGAACTTTTAAATTGTTTTATTTTTGAACTTTTAAATTGTTTTATTTTTTAACTTTAAATTGTTAATTTTAAAATGTTTGTAACTGTTTAACATAGGATTCTAAAATTTTGTTCCAATGTACCATTAATATTAATTTTTGTGACTTCAAACATAACTGTATGTATGTATAATGTGGTCAATAAACTACTATCTATCTATCTATCTATCTATCTATCTATCTATTATTATTATTATTATTATTATTATTATTATTATTATTATTATTATTATTATTATTATTATTATTATTATTATTATTATTATTATTAATTATTATTATTATTATTATTATTATTATTATTATTATTATTATTATTATTATTATTATTATTATTATTATTATTATTATTATTATTATTATTATTATTATTATTATTATTATTATTATTATTATTATTATTATTATTATTATATTATTATTATTATTATTATTATTATTATTATTATTATTATTATTATTATTATTATTATTATTATTATTATTATTATTATTATTATTATTATTATTATTATTATTATTATTATTATTATTATTATTATTATTATTATTATTATTATTATTATTATTATTATTATTATTATTATTATTATTATTATTATTATTATTATTATTATTATTATTATTATTATTATTATTATTATTATTATTATTATTATTATTATTATTATTTAATATTAGACCCCCTGAATTATTCTATGGGGTTCCGACAGAGAGCCAGTAAATTTGATAAAGGTGTTTTTGTGGCTAGGGGCGAAATAGTAGTACGTTTAAGTTAGCACCACCATAAAAAAGTTATTTTTAAGAAACTGCTTATATATTTTTTATAAATTGGTAGGCTTGGCGACTAATTTCGAATAAAAATAGCCTTCAAAATGGCTATGGTTGCAAGTATGAAAGTCGAAACCCGCCTTAGGAATTTCACCTTCACTATCAACAGCTGTTGTTTGACAGATCGTTAGGGAATGTTTGCATTTAATGAAATGTTGAGAATGTTAGGAATGTTGACGTTAGAAATAATTGAATTCCTAAAATTGCCACTTTCATTCTAGAGTTACTGTGCCGGCATACATACACACAGACGACCAGACGAATTTTTTTTTGCATTTTCTTACTCAGAATGATCGGAAACATGGGGGTAAGAAAATTTTTTCGACTGCACGAATGCAATGCAGAGGCCCAATAGGAAGGGCCTCAGTAATTTTTTGCCGATAATTCATATTCTTTTTCATAATTATTCAATTTATTAATTTTTTTAAAAATTTAATATTATTTTTTGATGCTTTCAAATGTCTCTAAGCTAAATTTATTTTGACAGCAGGTAAAATTATATCGTAAAAAAATAGAAACAAGAATAGAACTCTCTTTAAAAGATTTCAGGGCAATAATTTTAAATAAGATAAAAGACAAGATCGGTATTAATATATATTTAAATTTGGACTCAACTTGAAACCTTTTAAACAAACATTACTTTAATTACTTCTCTGAATACCTATAATATAAAGATATTATAAATAGACTACCCAGAACCGATTGCTTGACAATGTTATGTATTGAGCAGTAAAACCTCTGTTTCTTCCTCTGATAATGCACATAGTTTATAAGTCTAAAAAAAGTTTGTTTGTACAAGGTATTCGACCGATGCCAGACTATGTATACATACAATTCTATAAAAAGGATTATAACAGAAGTGGAACGTCTCAGTCAATAATGTGTTCAGTGCGTTTATCTTATATGGTTGGACGTTTCAAT